GATTTCTTTCAAAATTCTTACAGACCTTTAAGGCCCTGAGTCAAACATGCCCACCGAGATTCGTTCCGATTAACCTCCGTTAACCTTGTTTAATAGGTTCTTAAACTTGTTTGGCCAATGGCGGCCATGTTTTTTGAGATACGCGAATGTCCTCATAGTCACTTGTGCCCCTTTGGACCATGACACTGCATATAAATTTTCAAGTCGATCGGACCAACGGTTGCCTAGTTATAGCCATTTATACGTTTTTTCTGTCTTATAGCGCCCCCAAGTGGCAGAGTTGCGCAATTTTTTTTATTTGACCAAAGATTGAGCTCATACACATGTGTGCCGAGTTTGGTGAAGATATCTCATTCCGTTCAAGAGTTATGCTACAATTAACATTTGGCTAACGTTAGCATAGACGCTTTTTGGCGTACTGTTTCGCGCAAAAATCGAAATTTCAACTTTTTTTTGATAATTATTGATATTCAGTGTCCAAAGAACATTTCTGCACTGGTTTGGTTCCGATCGGGTGAAAAACCTAGGACTACTTCACAAAAGTAGGTTTCTGACAAAATTCAAAATAGCAGAAAATTTTTATAGACTGAAATGGAATCGGAGATATCCAAGGAATCCAACGATATAAGACACTTGAGCCTACGGCAAGCGGTTTAGGAGTTATTAGGGTTTTTGCGTTTTTGATCGCTGTAGCGCCACCTATTGGACGATTGGGGTGAGTCTTTGTCAGAATGTCCCCTCAGGGAGCTCTACCTTCTGGCCAAATTTCAGCTCTTTAGGCCTTACGGTTTGGTCTGCACGATCAGTTTTAGCGGAGAAAAATAATAATAATAAAAAAAATCCTTACAACTGCGTGCTTGAACCCCTAAATACAGGGAAGAAAATATGGCATGGAATAGTAAGCAGTGGCCATATATAAGACCTGTTACCTGAGTCCATGTGGAACAACTGACTTTATCACCAGCATTGAAAGCCATTATGTTGTATTTCTTACTGGTGTTTCTGTTGGGCAAATGACCAGAAATCAGATATCAACAACTTTCTTTGGCAGCACTATAGACACTCTAAATTAATTTCTAATCCAAGTAAGATAAATTAATTAATTAATACAAATCTTACTTAGGAACTCGTACAACATACTCCGTTGTGGAGGAACTGCTGCTCCCCTGCAAACAAGAACAAACTCTTAGGCCTGAGAGACAGATACTACCTACAAAAGTTGTACTGCTGAGCTGTACAGTATAATGGTGTTATGGATAAAACTTTAGACATAATTTCTAAAATTACACACAATTTGTAGTCTGCCAAATCTGGCTGGTGTTAAACAATCTGCTCAACCATAACTGTAGATGCTGAGGCGCTTACCAGTGACGTCATCACTGCAGAGCAAGAAGTCCCGTTAATAACCTGTGAGAACTGTATGAACAAACAACAGAACACTTTCATGTCTCTCATAGGCACTATTAAAAGGGCATTCTTGTTGTGCTTACATCTAAAAGTTGTGGTTGCAGCATCACGTACTGTGTTTTGGAGTTTTGGAGAACAGAAGAGTTACCGGAATAAAGCGAGCCGTGTGATCGACACATGAAAACAACTTTTTAAATACATTTCAAAAGCACACAGTAGTTGAATATGTTACTTACCTAGCTCACAGAAAAAGTAAATTGGATTTCAGATTAACAATCATTTTAAATGATATAGTGTAATGTTGTGTATTCTAAATGTTCGTAGCTGTTATTATTTTGCCACAATAATAACTGAATTCTTTTTTTTCTATGCAAATATTTATGATTAACATTTCATTAACATTTTCATGCAACTAAATATATTTATTTTATTTTGGGAAGTAGTACCAAGGCGTTGTGGAAAAATGAACCCATTAATGAAAGGCTGGCTCTCTAAACGCTTCAAACTTTTAATAAGTCACGATTTAAAAGACAACGGAAATGGACAGCACATGTTCTCAATATTCTTGTTATGCTGGATGAATTCAGTGACATTATTCCTTGAACATGAGCAAAAACGCGTTAAGCTCGCAGTAAAACATCTACTTGTACTAGTGATGTTGATGTGTGTTTGAAATGAACGTAAGTTAACGGTACCTTCAACCGGCTAACTAGAGAACATCCGATGCTCTAACGTTACTTCACTTTATGACGCTTAAACTTGTATCACCTCGTCCGGCTGCTGATATCGTTTCCTATTTGGGTATTCGATAAAACGAAATAGTAAATTCACTTCCAAAAATAGATAAGTAAAGGTACACTAACAAAATTAAGGAGAAGATGAAAGCAGCTCGCACCATACACAACTAAAAGTCTTCTTCTTCTACGCTTGTCATGAGCTTCATGGAGACTTACTGCCACCTGCTGTACCGAAGGGAACACTGCAGTGAGTGCTGCCTGCAGTCTGTGTGCATTGTGCCAGTCAGTAGTCTTTGAACTCAACGCTGTTTCTTGTGTTTGTATAGACAGGTATTTATTCATTATTTATTCAGAATAGTTTTCGAAAAGGAATTTTAATATTAAGGCTTGGCTTACATAAAATTCTGGCTGTGAAATGAACCATAACAAGACAATGGAGTTGGCCATTTTATTCAAACAAACAAACAAACAAAAAACACATCTTTTCATCACAGAATGATTTTAAACACAATACATAATTTGAGATACAGTGGAACTTTCAGACATAATTTTTTTTAAATGACACAAATCTGTAATGTGTGTATACATGCAAACAAATTAAATAAATTGCTAGAAAGTGTGTTAAGAACATTTTTTTTTTTTCATATTTAAATCTCCACAAGGCCAAACGTTGATATTTACCATATCATTTTTGCAGTTAGGTTAATTAAAAGAAGCAAGAAAAAAAAAAGAAGCAAAGGAATCCAGAAAGCACACACACTCACAAAATATTGCTTATGTAGGCTTGACTTTGACCAAAGTCACTGTGCACCCATAGAGAAGAGAGAGGAGGAAGAGGGTGAGGAAGGCACAGGCCATATTCCAGGCCTCTTCAACTGTATCCTGTGCAATAGCTTCAGGTTTGTTCTCATTCATAAATATAGCCTCCTCAAATAATGCTGTAAACAGCAAACAAGAATAAGTTCACATTTAAAAGCTACATTATTTTCTTGATAAAATTATATTTTAGTACTTGAAATCTAGGGTACCTGTTTTCATTGAAATGTTAAGCACCAAGGTATCAGCAACATGAGTGACTCTGCATGTGTACACCTCACCAGGTGCCCAGTCTGAAGGTTGGAGATCCAGTTGACTTCGGATGCTAAATTTTCCATCAGGGCCTTTTGCGGGTTTGGTGATACTGTGGGCTGACACCTCAGTCTTACCCAGCCACCAGGTGATGTTGATGGCAGGTGGGCTGAAACCAAATGCCAGGCACACCAGCTCACTAACTCCTTGCAGCAGATTTGCAGATGGAGCGGAGTGAATCAATGAGGCTAAAAAAAATAGAGAGAAATAGATCAGACAATAGTGAAGAGAGGTGTATGTATTGCATTCAAATTGTATCTTAGCATGACATGTTATATCATGTAATATATGATATTATTAAATATTCTATTCTTAGACTAACATATATTCAAGGTGTAAGAAAAATAATATATTTTTAACATATATATTTAATATTTTATATATATATATTATATATTAAAATCATATTATGTAAGTTTTTAATTATAATGGTATAATTTCATTCAGCAATTATATCTGATCAATCCTATTTAAAATATCAGGTACATTTTTCCTGATGGCACCCACCATACAAGTTCTCTAAAGTGCCGATGATTGGACTTTGGGATGACTCATGAGAAACAACACACGAGAACATGCCATCCTTCCACTCTGATGCAGGCAGCATAAGGGCACTATGCATTGCAAAACCTCCTGAAGTGTGAGCAACCACAGGACTGTTAGTGAACTGAGACGCATCTAGTTGTGTCCCATTTAGATGCCACTGCACAGAGATATCAGATGGGAAGAAACCAGTGATCAAGCAAAGAAGGTTGGTGTTTTGGAGTCCAGAGAGATCACCGTCTGAGGGTCTGAGGATTCTCACAGTGGGTCGTTTGGGGTCTGCGGGTATATGGCAACAATTAGTAATAAGAAAATATTCTCTGTAAAGGCAGTGTTGAGAACTGTGAGTGCTCACCTCGGGTTTTTGAGATGTTCTGCTGCTGTCTATCATTAGAGCACAAATGCGTAACCTCACAGGTAAAGACAGCATATGTATTCCATTCTGTAACTGAAACCCTCATAATTTTTTCTCTGCTTTGAGTCCCGTTGTTATGTTCTTTAGACTCTTGTTCATAGACATCATGATTGAGAAGTTTACCATTCACTTTCCATTGGATGGAGAATAACCTGACACTCTGACCAACAACCAAACATGTCAAAATCACAGAGGCGCCAGATCTCACATCATTGTGGGATGGACCCAGCAAGTAGACCTCTGCCTGCCTACTGGAAGGTGCAATCACTGTTGGACACATTTGTTGAGATATTAGATTCACTAACTCATAGGTAAGGAAAGAAACCAAACATTCTTGCGTAAACTATAATATTATCAGATATTTTCATCTCATTTCAATGTTGTTTAATTCTGATGGCAGAACAAATGGGTTCCTGTCACATTTGACATGTTTACCTGTACAAATACTGGTGCTTTTCTCAGCAGTTTTCCCACTGTGTCTGTTATCAGTTTGACAGGTGTAAGAGACCCCTTCGTTCCACTCTTGCTGTGGCACCAGTATCTCACGGTACACTTTCACACGTCCATCTTCCATCATTGTAGCGTCTAAAGCTCCGCCAGTTTTCTCCTTAGATTTTGAAAGCCACTTGATTTTTGGGTCGAATCCTGTCGCAGAACACAGCAGCTTCTGTGAGTCTGAACTAGACTGACCCACACTGTGAACAACAGCAAGCTCTATGGTAGGATCACCTGAGGAAGAAAATAGTGTCAAATGTTCAGAGAAGAAAACATAATACATCATGAATAAAATTCAATACATCACATCAATTACTGTCCACAGTATAGTTAATGTGGTACTGATGAAATGTTCATTCCTCACCAAAAATGTTTCCAGTAGGTTTGGATGTCAATTTTTTCGAGAGTCTATGAACTGTACAAGTAAATGTTTTTCCATTCTTCTGGTGCTCACTAGGTATTGTAAAATGTGTGGTCAAGGACCAAAGGTTTTCAGATGGGGCCCAATCCACACAACTTAAATCTGAGATATCAATATTATCGGCCTGGATGTTCATGCAGACCTCACCAGAGGGGAGATCATTTACAACACACTCCAGCACAGCACTGCCTGCCTGCGTTGATTTCACGAAAGGCCTCCTGATCACCACTACAGGATCTTTCTTTATATCATCTGAGGAGCAAAAATACACTTTATCACATGATACGTGGGTTTTAGAAGCTTAATTGTCATCAAGCACTTTGAAAAATGCTGATCAGTGCAAAAGAAACCACTTACCAGCTTTAATTTCCACCTTCTCTTCTGGGAAACATGGATGTTTAGCGGTACAAACAACGGTCTTAAGGGTCAACCAATCATTTCTGGACAAAGTCAAGTTGCTCACAATATTATTGGACTGGTCTTTGACTTCTTTGCTGGCTTTTTTACTTACATTGTCTGTCAACCATGACACTTTAGTGTTGTCTGGTGCTTCAACAACACAGGAAATCGTGACCTTACTCTCCTGAATAATGTCTCTGAGATGGGCTTTCTTTATTTGGACTGAAGGTTTGAACAAAGACTGTGCTGTACAGGGTGAAATGAATAAAGTTAGCTTTACATTCAGCTGAAAATCACATGATGATGCTAATACAAAAATTATACTTTCAAGCATATCTATGAGCTAGATATTATGTTTTGACATTTGTTCATTATTTTCTTTATTATGCTCAACTTACCCATGCACGTGTTATATTCTTTCTTGAATTCTTCAGAGTTGTGGGTGGCTTTACAAGTGTACTTTTTGTATTCATATCGGGCACTGATAGATAGCTGACTTCTGTAAGTGTATTTTTTCTCGCCTTTATCAGTGTTCTGAAACTTTTTATTAATTTCAGCATTGACAAGCTTATCACCCTCAAGCCATTGTACAGTAAGTTTGTCTGGGAAAGAATCATTCAACTGGCACTCCAACACAATCCTGTCATCGTCCTCTCTACTCAGCAGAGCAATAGTAGGCTTATTGACACGTATTGCTATTAAAATAGATATGAAAAATCAGTTAACTTAGGCAGTGTGGTTTAAACAAAGGTACAAAATTTATGAAAATATAGATTGACCCTATGCTTATTCAATAAATTCCAATAGACATAGAAATTAATGCTGTCAATGTTTCAGTGGGGTGGTTATTTACATAATGAGTTTTTTTTTATGGTACAGATACTGAAACAAAAGATGGACAGAAGAGGAAATCAGAAACATGCTTCAGAGAACATAGCAAATAGCAGATGGAAGCGTTAGGTAACAGACAAGCCAAAATAGCCACCAAAAGCAGAACTGAAAACCATCTGCATCTCTGAGACATGGCTGAACACATCTGCACAGGAAAGACACCTTGTCATTTACATAAAATGACTCACTTGTTATGCAATTTTTTTATATATACTTCACAGCATGAAATATTTACGCTCACAAATATTCTCAGCTAGAAGAGACTGTGCTTCAGTCACACAATGAACAAATTCTTGCAGATTCTGAGAAAATTAAGTATAGGATTTAAGAAAATATGCGTAATTTATTACTTTCAGAAATGAGGGACATTTTTCAAAAGCCTTCAGACACTCCTGTGTGTTAATAAATGTTACTTGTTATGTAGTTTATATAAACATATTTAGAGCACAATTAGAGTTTATCATACAAATCTCCTTAAAATTTTGTAAACTTGAGAGAAACAAAATACAAGAGCAATCAAATGGTTTCTTTCTTTTATTAAAGTAAAATTTAAAAACAAACAAACATCACAATCACATATTTACAATAAAGATGTTTTTCTGAGAAGTCTTGCATGTCCTTAAAGGGATCTTTCATTTCACCTGAAAGCATAATTTGATACCAATTAGAGCCCGAAAAACAACTTCTGATTAACTTGCATATATTAAATATTTTTAAAAGTTAAATATATGTTCAAAAGCAAGGACAACTTTTTTTTGCATCATCTCTCACCAAATGATAATTGTCACAAAATAAAATGCTCATATCAAATCTAGTCTCATGTTTATGCTAAACTAAAAATTAACTAGAAAAAAACCCCTCTAAAAATTGTATACCTTAACAAAAGTAGCCCCTATGCTGTAGAGCAAGGTGATGAGGAACAGGAAAACAAAGGTTACAGCAGTGTTTGCAATGCCACTATCATCTGTATCAATGGTGTCATACAGGGGATGCTCTATCCACACAATACATGCTGTGGGAACAGACAAGAACACATTAGCATGACCTACAGGACAACATCGCCACTCTCCAGCACAAACATTAGTAAAACAGTCTAGCATGTTCTCTTATAACTATAATGTTTTAATCACTTCACCTGCCCATCCTCATATACAATTAGACAGGTGGACTGAGGGCATGAATATCCAGTAAAAGGAAACCAATTAGAATATTGTGATAAAGAACCTTGATTGAATTATATTGCATTTGAAATTTGAGGATTTTCATCTGCCATTTTTCAGCATGTTATTTTATGATGTTTGTGATCTTTAATGCTCACATATGCTGTGACAAAGAAATATGAAACTGGTATAATAACAAATTAAATGCACAGGAATTATGCTAAATTTCTTTTTTATTAGTCTTTTCCTTAATGTAATATGCATGAAAGCAAGAAGCCACAAACATTAAAGACCAACACAATTACAAATATGGACATGTAACTCAAGAACAGGAAGAAAACAAAAGAAGAAAACAAGATGAACACTTAACAGGCATAACAGGAAGACACCACATACACAATGCTCTAGTCCTTGCAAGATGCAGGGGTATTCATACTTAGATTAATGACACCTGCCTTATCAATATTATCAGCAATAGATCTAGTCAGTACGCGCATTTTTTCATCAATGCTTTCATGGTACACGACACAACTGAACACTGTACCGCTCTTCCACTCTGAATAATCAACTGTTAGCTGACTGTAGACGGAGAAGTATTTATCATTCTGAATCGGCAGGCTAGTGTTGTAACTGTACCCAAGAGTCACAGGTTCATCATCAGCAAGCCAAGACACAAACACCTCTTTGGGGTAGAAGTCCTTCACATAACATGTCAGGGTCATCGGTTCACCCGGTTTGTGCTCTGGGGGTGCTAATATGAAAACAGTGGGTTTCTTGGGGTTTTTACCTAGTAATACAAGATCACAATTAAGACCAGAATGAGTCATAAGTCATTCTCTTTAAAATGAAACCAATTAGAATATTGTGATAGAGAAAGAACCTTGATTGAATTATATTGCATTTGAAATTTGAGGATTTTCATCTGCCATTTTTCAGTTTATTATCTTGTTAATTATGTAGCATGTTTACTAAATAATTCAAACACAATGGAAATCTGATTAAGGAAAGGTGACCCTGACAACCTCAAATAAGTCAGTTGAATGTGTCTTGGCATGCTGTAGAAGAACTGATGTGGCTACGAATGATCAATCTCTAATAACTGAACTGTACAAATGGAGAGCATTATGTGTTTGGGTGATTATAATATCAAACAGTACAAATGACATACAATATGCACACACACACACACATACACACACTGACAAACATTTCCTCCCATTATTACGCATTTTATGTGCCAGCTAATGGTATTATCAGCAATAGATCTCGTCAGTACGCGCATTTTTTCATCAATGCTTTCATGGTACACGACACAACTGAACACTGTACCGCTCTTCCACTCTGAATAATCAACTGTTAGCTGACTGTAGACGGAGAAGTATTTATCATTCTGAATCGGCAGGCTAGTGTTGTAACTGTACCCAAGAGTCACAGGTTCATCATCAGCAAGCCAAGACACAAACACCTCTTTGGGGTAGAAGTCCTTCACATAACATGTCAGGGTCATCTTGTCACCCTCTTTGTGCTCTGGGGGTGCCAATATGTAAACAGAGGGTCTCTTGGGTTCTTTACCTAGTAACACAAGATCACAATTAAGACCAGAATGAGTCATAAGTCATTCTCTTATTATTATTATTTTTTTTTTGTCAAACTCTATATTAACGTCAATTGTAATGAAAGATGGTGTAAATCAAGAGACCTTGTAATAGCATGAACTGCATGATGTTTTACAAAAAGAAAAACCATACCATTTTCTCTGACGAACTTAGTTGCCTTTGGCTCTGCTAGCTCGTTGTGTTCAACGGTGCATGTAAATTCGGTGCCATTGCTCCATTCTTCATAGCCAATCTGGGCGACAAGTTCCACATATTTTTGGTTTTCTCCTACTGCTGCCTCAGCGATGGCATTATTATTCGCTTTTATTGTTATTTTGGTGAAACCTGAATTTTCTGCTGAAGCTTTGCATTTCAGCTCTCCTTGTCTATTTTTCAGCATGTCTTCAAGGGAGGGAGGCACTATATCAACAGCAATATCGGTGCAATCTTGAATAGGAGCTGGGTACAAAAAGCAGACAGATTTGGGGAGACACAAACATAATATTAATAAAAAAATAGAAAAAATAAATAAATAAAAGAAACTATTTTCAAAACATTCGCAGTTCTCAAGAGAAAACATACCTGCATATTCGGCCTCAACATCTTCATTTCCCGCCTTGTGCACAAACTCACACTTAACTTTGCTGTTTGGCTGCTTCCATTTGTCGGCACTGATTTGCAAAATGCTTGTGGCGCTATATTTGGTTACTGAGCCTTTCTTCTCACTTTTGTCATATTTGTCTATCGCATCTGTCACCTCCTTACCATCCTGAAACCACTTAAACGCGTATGTTTTAGGTGAAAACCGCTGGGCTAAACACATGAAGGTTGCGGTTCCATTGTCTAACTCCATTTTTGTAGGTACTGTTAAGTACACATCTGCACGTTGATCTGGCGGTGGGGCTGGCAACATACAGGAGAAAGCAGAGAGGACATGAAAAGCAAAAGAAAATAGTGCAACATGACTTTTTAAGCAAGCGAATAAGATGCTCTTGTAGAGTTTGAACCTCAATGTTAAATGCTGTATATTTATATCATGTAGCCTATTATGTGCTTTTCTGTTCTAGCGTTTTTAGACTCACTATATTTGTAGCCTTGCTGTTCTCAGCTGGTGTAAACATTGAATGACATCAGACTTTAATAAAATGTAACAGGAGGTTCACTGGTTAAATAAACCAAAGAGTGTGCTAAAATTCCAATTCAAACATGAGTCTCCGCAAAGAAACCACAACATAATCTTAATCCAACAGCAAGATACAATAGAGAGACACATGAAGTAGCTAATGTAAAATGGTAGACATTTTAGAAATGTAACTCACGTGATGGACCAACAGGAATGTTTTTACTGCCTTTAGAATTTGAAGCTTCGCATGTGTAAGGTTTTTGAGGATCCCAATCACTTTTCCTCACGCGCAGATGGCTGATTTTGGTATAGTCTCCATCCCGTCCAAACGCCGGATACTGCACAAAATCACTCAACTCATTTGTAGCAAAATCCTTCCATTTGAACGTAAGCGAGTCCGCAGGTTTTTTTTAATGTGGGGGGGGGGGGATCTCATATGTCATTGCATTCCCTGACATAGACTCAGAAATGAAGTATTTCTGAAAGCCTAAGTGTATTTTATTGATTTAAAAAATCATGTAGCCTATTATGTGCTTTTCTGTTCCAATTCAAACATGAGTCTCCGCAAAGAAACCACAACATAATCTTAATCCAACAGCAAGATACAATAGAGAGACACATGAAGTAGCTAATGTAAAATGGTAGACATTTTAGAAATGTAACTCACGTGATGGACCAACAGGAATGTTTTTACTGCCTTTAGAATTTGAAGCTTCGCATGTGTAAGGTTTTTGAGGATCCCAATCACTTTTCCTCACGCGCAGATGGCTGATTTTGGTATAGTCTCCATCCCGTCCAAACGCCGGATACTGCACAAAATCACTCAACTCATTTGTAGCAAAATCCTTCCATTTGAACGTAAGCGAGTCCGCAGGTGAGAAACCTCTTGCCAAGCAGCCGATGGTGAGGAACCCATCAGAATCAGAAGTACACTGAGACATGGCAAAGATTGACTTTGGTGCAGATGGTTGAGCTGTAGAGACATTGCATCTTTCTCAGACAAAATATACAACCTACATATAACGTAGCCTACATATGCAACACTATTAGGCCTATTAGATAGCTAGGCTACATCTCGAATGACTGAATGGATGAATTAATGAATAAAATAAAATATGAAAAAAAATCTAATAGATTACAAAATAACATAAAACAAAATGATTGAGTTTAACTGGTTTTACACGAGATGAAAGACACCGCGGAGTCTCTTCACTTTGCGTTGAAGTCCCGATCATCCTGTTAACTTTGCAGTAATGATCAGTGCTGCACACAAGCTACTTAACAAATATGTAGCCTACTACATAGATATTAAATATTGATTTGAAATTGTGGAGACCGGAAAGACAGAACACGAGCACAGCTATTTTGAAACAGGTTTCCCGAATGAGCAGACATAGTGTTGCCCTGCCGGCTTTTTTTTACGTTGATTGACCAATTAGAATAAAGTATTTCGCTCAGCCGCATAATAAAACACAAAATCTCGTGAATTGGGTGAAATATTTCTTTCTCTTGGATGCTGTAATAAATAAAGTGTTATATATCTAAACTAATTTATTACTAGAATTTTGAACTGCAGAATTACTTTTCAGTTTGTTTCAAATGGGATCAGTCACAAATGAATCAGTTCATAACCTATGAAATGTGTAAATTAAAACAAACAAATAGAATAAAAACAATCCAAACCTTTTGAAAATTTTAAAAAAGTAAAATTAATTAATTTATTTAAAACATCTTACTTATTTCATAACAAGGTATGCAATCTGTAATTTAAAAATATAACACGTAATGGCTGTATCAGTGTAGAAAGTTTAAACGCACGAGACACATTGCAGTCTAGTTATTTAGTCTTATATTTATACTTTTCAGCGTCTATTTGCGCAGATTAAGCCAACACATTCAAGAAAATGAACATTGAAAGGAGTCGTTTAACAATAACTACTGTTATTGATTTTTTTTTTTTAGCAGCTAGGCTATACAACGAAACAATATTATAAAATTATGTATACAATTTCTAATGAAATAACCATTCATCTGACAACAATTAATAGAAAACTCTCAATATATAATAAAAACTGTAAACAATAACACATACATCGACAGTTTGTCTTATTTTACGATTCAACTGATCTTGCAATTAATAATAAAATCTTACCGTTTGTTACGGTGACTTTAGTGCCGCTTCCCCAGTAGTCGAAAGCCCAGTTACACAATATTATTTAATGTTACAGCGCAGTATAAAAATGCAACGCTCAGTCTGTTAACCTGTAGCCGATTCGTTGTTTTATTTTAATGCGTGTACACATCAAATTATTTAAAAATTAATTATTCATAATTAATGTGAATCTTTGCGTTTCTAGCAAAACTCTAAAGACATGTCCCGACTTTAATTGTCCTATATCGTAGAATAAGTAAATCGCCATTAAAATGTTGCTTAAATGTAAAAACAACTTTTTGACAAATTACTTGTCACCTTTTTTTCGTACTTAAATTAGATTTTGTTTTAAGTTTTTCTTACCTGACGAGACAGTGACCATGGTTCCTTTCCCCCAGTAGTCAAAAGCATTGTCACACTGACAGTTTTACCCATGGATATTTTACAAAAAGCTATGACCCTATGACAAGTCACTTTCATTGATTATCCTAACCCACAAATTCGACTATTTATCCTTTTGATGAGGTTTATTCTTGCAAAACGGGCAAGCGGTCTGTAAGTTTGGTTTTACTTTTATGTTTAAAACATATCCCAACGTTTATGAAAAACTTGAATTTCACTTCTTACCAGATGTCACAGTGACCGACGTGCCTTTGCCCCAGTAGTCAAAGGCAGCAGAGTCACAGTGATACTTTTAATTTCTTCAATGCACAAAAACGATTTTTTTTATATCAGCAAACCCAGCAACAATCCTATTTATTTCATAAATAAATGCAGCACTGTCCATGATTTTTTTTTCTTCTTATAGTGGACTAAAAAGACTGTTAATTAACATGCATTTTGTTGTTTGGCTCGTATAACTAAACAAAAATCTAATTCTTACCTGAGGTTACAGTCACTGTTGTTCCCTTTCCCCAGTAGTCAAAGGCACCGTCACAACGGGAAGGTTCACGATAAGAGCCATACCATAACCCTAGTACTTGCATAGCCTACCTTGTCGTGCCATACGTTATCAAAGCGACTACTTTTGTGGCATTTTAGTGCGCACTTTCTTTAATCTGAGAGTTTTACTCGACATTGTTTACGGTTACTGACGCTCCCTTTTTCCACTGTTAAATACGTCTGCATGTTATTTTGTGATAAGACTAGCCTACTTACCTGATCTTCAACAATGCATAAAAATGGATTAACAGAAAATATCAACAATATCTTACCTGAGGAAACGGTGACTTTGGTTCCTTTCCCCTAGTAGTCGAAGTAGTAGACACAGTGACTGGTGCCTTTGAGTTACTAACCAAAAACTCACAAGAAGCAGCAAAAACTCAAACCCAACATTTGTTATTTTACCTTTCTTTTAAATGGATTGAATGAAAACGTCTCTTCTGCCTGCCTTTCTGTAGCTGCCCTGGAGTGTAGATCAGAAATATGATTTGCACTAAAGATAGAGCACTAATGTTATATATAATCCTAAACATGAAGACACTGATATTAAAAAGTGAAACCATTTTTAGGCTAGTAATAACCTTAACCAAACACGTCCTGCATTTGCTCCTAATTCACCTAAGTGCTGATATTTGCTAATAATTAAAAGTAAAAAAAAAACTTTAAGCTACTCTTAATTTTTGCATTTCATTCATTTGTTCATTCATTCATTCATTCATTCATTCATTCATTCATCCATTCGTTCAACAGTTAGGCTACTTCTGGTTCTTGAAATATAAAATATTTTATATTGAAATGGACTGAAACTAGGTTGTAAACAATGACATTATTTTTACTTTCAGCAACACCTTGTAGAATGCCACCAACAAATGCACTGGCCAGAGTTATCATGGGAAATTCATCCTGCGACAAATATATCTCTGTCCTCAGCAGACATTCAGGTTTTTGTAACGCTGGGAACAAGGAATGCAGGTGAAGACAAGGGTCTAAAAGCAAGGGGTTTATTGAAACACAGAGGAACACAAAGAACGGGGAGGCACACAAAATTAACTGCAAACATTGACTGACAAAATACAAGTGAAACAAGGGCTATTTTTACACAGGAGAACAAAGGGCTAACAAGCAAAAGGTGAGACTGATTAATCACCATGACAACCAACAAGGGTTGCCGTAAAAACAAACAAGGCACACAGCAGCCAGGGCAGAACACACACAGGGAACATGCAACATAGCCAGCATAGCCAAGGAGCGGATTCCAGACGCTCCCCAAAAAAACGGAAAATTCACAACAAAAGTCCAGGAGGGTGGTGGGGTGGAGCGGAGGCAGAACAGGGGAAGGGATGGTGGGCCAGGCCCATGGAGTGGAAGAGGGCCTGGAGTCTGTGGTGGATCAAGAGCAAGCAGTGTGGGTGGCCAGGGCGGAGCTGAAGGATCTGGCAGCCAGGGCAAAGCAGGCAGGGCTGGAGACCAGGGAGGAGCTGGAGACAGAGGAGGACCTGGCAGATCTGGCGGCCAGTGCGGAACGGAGGAGCAGGAAGCCAGGGCAGAGGCCAAGGTAGAGCTGGCAGAGCTTAAAGGGTTAGTTCACCCAAAAATGAAAATTCTGTCATTAATTACTCACCCTCGTGTTGTTCCAAACCCGTAAGACCTTCGTTCATCTTCGGAACACAATTTAAGATATTTTTGATGAAATCTGAGGGCTCTCTGACCCTCCCATAGACAGCAAGGTAACTACCACGTTCAAGGTCCAGAAAAGTACCAAGATGATCGACAAAGTAGTCCGTGTGACATCAGTGGTTCAACTGTAAAGTTACGAAGCTACGAGAATACTTTTTTGCGCAAAGAAAACAAAAATAACGACTTTATTCCACATTTTCATTTTCAACAAGGCAAATAAGTGTGTTAAAATGATCATGGTATTGTTTAGTATTTTATATTTTGTATATGTTTAGTTTGTATAGTTCAAGTGTTAATTCTCATTGATGATGTGGCAATGCAGAGCAAGTGCTAGTTAGAAACTAATTAGATGAGTTAGTGTTTGTCTTGGATCTGTAAATGTTTGTGTTCTTATGTTAAAACACCCCTGCAGTGTTTAAGCTGTTTATCACCAGATCATCTTAATGAAGTGGTGTTTTCAACTCACATTGATGTTGGACCATGCCTGAGGCGTTATCTTTCCCTGTTTATTTTCAAACGCTCGCTGAATGTCATTGTCTTACTCCCTCGAGAGCACAATTTGTATTCTTGCAGCTTATGGTATAAAAGTAAATGTCTTCAAGCAACAACTTGCTGCTTCTCCAGGGGAGAATACTTTATCAACGTAAGGTTTTGTTTTAGCTGTAGTCTTTTTTTTTACAAGTGTTGTTAAGGTGGCCTACTTTAACTGATCACAAATTGTATCTTTAACTTGATCTTTAGTGTATCTTAAACTAAAAGTCACACTGCATAATACATTTTAAGAGGGTCACATACAGGTGTCGCATGACATCAGTTATTCTTTTGCAATATTAGGAAATATCACAAATTAGTTGATATTTTGTAATGCGTTTCAGAACAGATGTTTTCAGAAATTAGGGAAACAATTAATACTGTTATCCCTAAATAGCACAAGGAGACAGATGACATTAATAATAAGACAATAATAAAAGATGTTTACAAGACTATTAACAAGACCCATCTGAAAACAAGAAATGAGTAAAGTACACATTAAGCACAGCAAAATGCTTTTTAAATCACAGCAGCAAAAAACAAAAACAAAAAAAATGCCCCATTTACAGTTATTCTCAATCAATTTGACACATTTCTCCAAACTCAGGTCACTGTTCTCAAAACAGTTAACACAGTGATCGGAGCACTTTGTAACGGTCCTAAACAGATTGTACGTTTTCATTCATTTCATACAAATTACAAATCATGCAAATCATTTTCTCAAAACAATGGGCACAAAACTCTCAAATGTTTTCACAATAGTTAATACAACCAACCAATACTTTAAAATACCTGATAAAAGGGTTTAAACTGACAGAGTGTGTCTGCCTGTCACGAATCCGGTCCGTGACCTTCCGGCCGATTGACACCAGAGGTCGCTCTCCCATTACATTGACTCTCACACCACACAGACTGTTACACATCACCCTGGACTGCATTTCCTATCATCCATTGCACTTATTACACACACACAGCTGCATCAAATGAGACATGCTTTATAAGCCATGGACTTCCTCTCTCTCACTGCCGAGTATTGTTTAGCATGAAATGAAATGGTTTTTTTTTCAAGTGTTTGTACAGGCTTTACTTTTTTTTTTCAATGTTGAAATTCGCAATTCATGTCATTTAATCTTTGAAGAAGATTTGTTATATGACAGCATAAATTGAATTTTCTTAAGGGTCAAGATCAAGTTATCTGCTTCTCCTGCGCTCCATTAAGCCACTCCCATAATTGCTATCAGCACTCAAATTAATGCACGACTCGGATGAACTGTATGTGTGTAAGACTCTAATACAATTATAAAGTAATTATTTTATCACGAATAAATCTTTCAATAAGTAAAACTGGTTGTGTCTATAGTAGTAGTAGATGTAGTGTTTGACATGTGCCATTGTGTTTTGTTTTCTCCATTCAACCAAACCTTTCCAGTTTATTTTTATGCAATTTCACTTTGCATTAAGATTTTTTTTTTTTTTTTTTTGCTA